ATCTTCTTTTTGCTGGTTTGACACCAAAATTCAGCCTGGGTACTCAGTGCCATTTGTCTGGGTGTATACAAAGATACAGCCATCTAATTAAAACAAAAAAACCTAAGAAGTTCTCTTTAGCTAATGGTATTGCTGGCAGCCTTGTCATTATCGGTAAGAACAACACAGGCTTTCATGTCTGGAAAAGCACTTGTCAGTGCTTGAGACATAGTAGCACAAGCTTGGGATGTTGTGGCAGCAAATAAGCAATTTTAGGTAAAATACATTTTCTAAGATGTCAGGTAGAAATTCTTCACCATGAGGGTGGAGAGGCACTGGAACAGGTTGCCCAGGGAAGTTGTGGATGCCCCATCCCTGGAGGTGTTCAAGACCAGGCTGGATGAAGCTTTGAGCAGCCTGGTCTAGTGGGAGGTGTCCCTGCCCATGGCAGGGGGGTTGGAACTGGATGATCTTTAAGGTCCCTTCCAGCTCTAACCATTCTATGATTCTGTGATTAAGTTTGCAGAGAAAACAGTTTTCAGATTTGATAGTATGATCATAGAATCACAGAATGATGACCCGTAATCAGAAATACCTAGGGTGAGTCACCGAGTAGGATCACCGTGAAGCCCAGTTTAAATCCAGTTCTCATTTTACTTATTGGCCTGGAGTTTGGGCAGTTCAAAAGTAGATGGTTCAGTGTGTGTTCATTAGAGACTGATTGATTGCTTGGCTGTATGAACACAGGTTTTGGGGTGAGGAAGGCAGAAGGAGAGGAATTTGCATTTCCCAAGACCTAGGATGTCTGCACCACATGTTTATAATTTTGAAGTTAGGCTGTAGTACTTAAACATCATATATTTATGCCCATATATTTTTGTTGTGTAATAAGAAGTACCATTTTCTCCTGATCTAAGACTTTAGAGGCACCTGAGCACCTGCCAGAGCCAAACAAGTTATGAACTGGTTCTGATGACGTGGATATGGGAGGATTCTCCTGGCAAATTATTGCCTCTGAAGCCAAGGGCAGTCAAAGCATCCTCTTTCACAGTTAGGTGGCCAACACCAGCGTTTCTGTCTTGAACACTTGCTTCATGTTAATAACAGGTATATCTTGTATCTATAGAGGTTGTAACTTGCGGTAGAAAGAAGGAAGCTGGCTTTTGTGTGTGTTATAAAACTAGCAGTTAGCAAGATGTCTTGAAGGTAAGTTGCAAGTGGATCTAAAAGCCAGCTTGGCCTGTTGTGAAGGTTTTAACGTCATCTGATGATGATATCCTGGATGAAATAGTAATAGCTCTGGAAACAAATTTAAGTGACCTTCTGCTTTGCTTTGGGAGTAATATCCATACATGCAAATCAAGCAGTTTTTTGAAGCTACGTAATTACACACTGATGAGTGTTCCATTCAAATCAGCTTCCACGTTTCATAGTTCCTTCATGTGCCCAGCCCCGTGGTGGTGTGCCTCAGAGGATTATTCATAACTGGTTCTACAACAACAGAATAAATAGTATTTGAGAGCAAATCAATATTTGCTATCTCCAATTTGCTGTTGAACCCAGAGGCTGTTAAGGGATTGGCTTCTTGTAGGTATTGCAACAGTTGTGACCTTTGAGGAGATCTGAAGGAGAAAGAAGTGGCATTAGCAGTAAATGCCTGAGGAATTTGTAGGCTGATGGAGAAGGAAATAGTGCCACAAAGGGAAGTAGCTGAACCCTCTTCTCCATTAACAGCTTAACCTTGAATTTGCCCAAGTGGTTTTTTAACTAGCTTAGTTTTCTGTGATAACTTAGTTGCTTTTGCCATAAGATTTGACAAACCAGAATGTATATCCTCGTGAATATTTATTTGCAAACTGACTAGGGTGCAGACAGTGGCTAAGCCAAATTCTGCTGTCCTCTGGGACACAGCTATGGGCAGAGAACTGTGCGGGTTATACAATAGGCTCATCATCCTACCAGTGCACGTTTTCCTTCTGTAGAGTTTCTTCGCCTCTAAATTATTGCAGCTAATGCCTGTGAGTACCTTACCCATGTACTTTGATATAAATACTGTGCCTCTGCTGCATCTTAGACCCTACTATGAAAGCATATTGCAGCCGGGCTTATTGGAAGAGTATGGAAGGCCCAGCTTCTGTGTGGTGGTCAAGATTTCTCTTTATAATTTTTCTCTTATGCCAAGGTCTGGGCTGAGCTGAACCAAAATGGCAATTCCAAACGTTTTACTACCTTCCAGCATTACATCTTTGAATCCAATCCTCACAGCAGGCATCCTTCTTTTCCAGCATAGGATTTGTGTGCAGGCCAGCCATATGGTGTGTGTAATTATAATTTTATAATGGTGTTATTGCTCTCTAGCTGCCCAGTAAACCCAGCGCAGTTTCAGTAAACTATATGCATAAGCATAGAAACTTTAGACTTGAACAATTTTCTTCACTATTATACAATAGTAGGTGCGAAGGAGAAAAAAAGATTCCATTTAATTTATAGAAACTGTATAAAGTTTATAGAGTCTCTGCAATGATCTCAAATGAAAAGGCTGTGGAGAAGAGGGGCTGTACCGAAACTGGGAGGTCCACAACGAGAAGAATAACAGTTAAAGGCACACATCAGTAAATACCTGCACTGAACTTTTCCCATTAACTCTACCGTCGAGCATATGGACTGCATTAGGGGTTTGTCTGCCTTAGGGACTTTATAAACACATTTCCTCCCCTTTCCTCTTCCCTGCCCAGTCGCTATTGCTTTAGACTATTACAGAATCGAATAGTGTCCATTCTGGGGTCATCATTTTTATTGGAAAGAGGCTGTTTGCTGTAGAAACATTCACTGATTAGTGTCAGAAACCTGTGTATATATGCAAGTGCTTTCCTGAATGTGCCTTTTTTTTTTCCCTTGGTGTGTGAGCTTCCTGAAGCAGTCATACCAGCTTGGCTCACCCATCCTTTCAGGCATATGTGCAACTCTAATTTGCATTGATGGCAGAATTTCTGCAGCAAAATTAGGAGCCAATGTGTGCTCAGTTTTATGGACGATCTGTAAATAAACACAGCTCACTTTTGCATCCTTATTTACCCTGAAAATGAAGGTTGCCAAAGTGATTGGTGAAAAAAAGGTCCCAAAACCAAAAATCTAAGCCTCTGATGAAATCAGAAAATATTCATTATGCTTCTGTGTACCCTTCTGTGTTTCTTCTTTGATTTTAGCCAACATTGGAAGTCTGTATGTCCAGCTCCCAGAACCTGGTGCTGTCCATCCGAGCATTCCTGAGCTTGAGGAAGAGATGGCCCTGTTGCCTGCTTCTAGCTCCTGCACCCATTTTGCCTTCCCCTTTGCACTAACACATGTATTTTAACAGAAAAAAAGTGTCTCTGGGAACAGATCTGGCTTAACATTAACCTCCACCCACCCTCAAGAGTTAATTTTAACACATGGATGGTGGAAGTTACACCCTAGGTGACACATAGCACTTCTGCTGCTCAGCCCTGGATGTGTGAGTGCCTGGCAAGAAGTTCTGGGGTCGAGGTGCTGAAGGAAGGAAAGCCCAAGAAAGATGTGACACATCTCTTAGTTTATTGTACTTTGAGATTTGTAGGTGGTAAATGATGTGGGTTTTTTACAGATATTCTGGAACCCTAATATAATTTACAGTTTCATATGTAGAGAGCTGTTTCAAATCTGTGCACATTCTTATAAGATGTTTTAAAAGAAAAGCCAACAGCAATAATTAGTTTGGCATTTTCCATGTTTTCTAAAGCACTTAAGGGGTAATGACTTTTTTTAACCAATCTTACATAAAATCTGGTTTTACAGGAATAAGAGGACTTAAAAGGCCTGAATGGACGTCAGTGACATGTAATTCATGCTGAAAGCTCTATTCCAATACATCAAAATAAGGAAAACAATTATACATATGATTAGAGGCTGCTGACCCTTCAGTTAAAATGATCAAAAAGAACAATATTAAAATTTGATTTACGGAAGCTACTACTTAGCCTATAATTACTCTGACCAATAAAAACAAACCAGACTTTTACAGAACGTGATTTCCCAGAAGATAGGTTAGCTATTTTTGTAGGGCTGAAGAAACACAAAATGGTTTTAAAATATATTTGATATGCTCTATGAGCAAATTGAAATACAGCGTATAACTACTTTTAATGTTTTTTGTTCATAAATTGCCAGATTTCCTTAATTCAAGTGAAATTTGAGATCCACTTGAGAATAATTGTCCCTAAAATGAAACATTACTTTGTCAGTCTACTTCATTTATATTAAATATATGGTTTACTTTTTTATATTAGAAGGTAAATGAAAGTTGGTCAGTAATGTGATTCCCCTTACACTTTTGCTGTAGTTCACTATGGAAATGGATTCAGGAAATGGCAGATGTGATTAAAAACTCTTCAGCTGGCCCAAGAGCTGTTTGTACAGCACCTAGCATACAGCACTTCTGGCAAGGAACACTCCTCGTCTTATTGCAATATAAATAACATGACTCTTCAATGTAGGGACTTGGAATTTTGATTTCAAATGCGCTAGTTAGGAGATTGGGAAGATGAGATTAGATGAGGCTTTTTTATTCATAAGAATGAAGACACAATTGTCGTGCTGGCTAATGCGGTCCTGCTTCCTTGTGCACGCGAGTAAGTACATTGGAATCCACGCCAGACCAATTTGCATGAGTGTCTTGGAACAATGATCCTATAAATTGACATAGAAGGGTCAAGCTGCCTGCTCAGAGGCTGACATCACTGGTGAGCTGTGCACAACACATAAATACATTGAAGATTGCAAAACTAAGAGAGACTTCTTCCTATGTCCTGTAGAATGCATCTACAAGTGTAGAGCTTGTGTCTGGGCAAAGACTCAACTTTGTATCTCCCAGTTTGGAATATATTTGTTTTATTCACAGACCTCTCATGAATTCTGACTTTTTTGTGCATCAGTTTTTGAAATTTCCTACCAGCTTTCCCTTGTCTGGAAACTTAAGTCCTGTTTTTTATTTCTGATATTTCTAGTGGAACGGGAAAATGTACAGAAGAGGACCTTTACCAGATGGATAAACCTGCATTTGGGAAAGGTAAGACTGACAAACAGTCTCGATACTGAGATACAAGGACACAGCTGTAGACAGATTGCAGTTAATTCCCTTTAAAGTAGTTAAAATTCGGAAATAAAGTTGACTTCTATGCATATGGGGATGTTTGGAAGAGAACGAGGGGAAGCTGAAAGTATATTTCAGGGTAAATGAAAATGCTTGGGTAGCTTTAGTTCATCTCAGGTGCATTTATGTCTTTAATGCTACTGACTGTTACCATGAAGCTAGAATTTTCCCATAGAATGTACTCACATAAAATCAGATATGGTTGAGGCTGCTCTAAGGTGATGATGACTGTGTTCTTCTCTGGACCGGAAGTTCGAACATCTAAGGCATCATGGCCAAAGACAAATGTTCTTCAGAACCTGGCTTCATCCCAGATCTGCAGATGGGAACCTTGTCAGTCGTGTTTGGAGAGGAGGGCTGTATAATGAGATCTTTACATATCCACTTACACTAGAAAACCAATTTTTGGACATCACTTCATATTTTTAAGATGTAATTGTTTCTTAATCACGCCATAATATGTGTGATTATTATATTAAACCTAACTTATGGTTCTTATTGATAGCAGATAAGTAATGACTCTCCTGAGTAGTCTGCCATCCAGAGAACTATTTTTCTGCTGTTGAGGATGAAAAGAGAAAAAAAAAATTCTACTGTCGCTGAGACTACAGCAATGCTTAGCGAATGATCAAGGAATTTGACCAGCTTCCTGATCTAGACAAAGTCCTAACTCAGACTGGAGTTTGAGCTTCACAGTGTATCTGTAGCTAAACTTCATAAAGTAGAGATTGGGACTAAGTTTGGGCTTCAAGCGGACTCTCAGTCTAGCTCCTGTAGTTCTTGGAAGCAATTGCATTTCATACATAGTAAAGCAAAGGAGTTTTAGAAGAAAGACATCACATATATAGTTGCTTAACTCCACTACTCTACAGTGAGTGTTGCTGAAGGAATAAAGGGATCCTCTTAAACCTCACTGGAAAATCAGAATAAGGCTAGTTAGAAATGTTTTGACTAGCAATTGCTCCCAAAGGTCTCTCGGAACCAAGACAGTGTTACATGATTCCTTTGTGAATCAGGCTCTAGGGCTTTAAACTAACTGCAATTTTGGAAGTTGTCAAAAAGGGTTGTCAAATATGTGACTGTGGAGAAGGTCTTTGATTTATAGAAGGAATTAGATCATGAAAAAGGCTGTAGGGTGCTGTTAATTCTGCTGTGCCAAGCATATGAAGTCTTAGAAATTTGTGGGCAGGTGAAGTGTTTTCTCTGGAGTGCGTACAAATTTTTTTTCCTCTCTAATTCAACAAAAAAAATGCTTTTCTGAAGAGAGGGCAAAAGTCTGCTGCTATATTACTGTTTTTCCTGGAAATGGCATAATAAACATATCCATGTAAATACTGAGAGCTTTGCTAAAGCTCTCTTTAATTACAGGTGATTCCCTCAGGACACCCACTGAGGAAGGTGGCTTCTGTCTTTAACCTCAAAGAAGCACTTCATGCAAAGTGGCTTCTTTCTTTTAAGGGCAGCAGTGAAGTCTTGTACTTCTTCAGGAAGCTTATTGTGCAGAGTGTCCTCTTTTGGAGCAAATGATCCAATTTGGGTCATCTTTTGAGAAGAGCTGGCTCTTGCTGGTCATGGGATAGTTGGGAGTAGTCTGCATCTTCTGAGTGCTGGTGGTTCTTGTTTTAAGTAGTGAAAGAATAAAAAAAAAGGCTTGGGTTTGATGCTTTCAGATAGGTTATTTAATTTTGAAATGAATGTTTAGTACTTTTGGCTAAATTAAAGACTAGTAGCAAAAATGTACAGTCACAGTTTGCCAGAAGCTGCTTAATTGAACAGTAGGGCATTGCCCAACCAAAGATAAAAAGACTTGGCTCTTTAGGGACAAGAGAGTGAGTGACACCTGAACAGAGCATAATTGCTGCAGCTGAGACTTCCCCTAAGGGCTGAGCTGACTTGGCTGTGTGCCTCACAGTGCACACATCATCAGACACTTCAGTGAAGTGAAGAGATGGTTCCCTTTGGAGGAGTTTGCTCAGAAGAGAGATACACGATACAAGAAATTGCTTTTTAAAGTGCTTAAAAAATACTGGGAAACAGAATGGCACCACCAGAAACCTTACAGAGGACACAGGACATTGTGGCCAATCTGGACCTTGGGCTTATTTTGGGCATAAAGGGGAATTCACTTCTGCTGGACTCCTCTTAGTCTGAGGGATCAGCACCCGACCCTTGGGTGGTCACCTCCTAGGCAGACTATTTAGGGTGAGATTCTGTTATGGGAAATCTGGAATAAATCCTTGTCTGATCTCAGTTACACGAGCAGTTTTAGCTCCTACATTCCTAGGACAGAATTGCCACTGATGTGAAGAATAGTCAGCTAAGATTTATTTCTAGTATCACTGTCTTGTAAAATTCTACTTCTTACTTTCTGAAATCATGGTGGCTTACCAAGCAGTACTGCTTTAAAAGTTCCCTGGTTTCTCTTCTTCACAGTGCAAGCCACCGCTGAAAGTGAAAGACTTGTTTATTGATATACAAGATGGCAAAATCTTGATGGCACTACTGGAAGTCCTGTCAGGACAAAAGCTGGTATGTATACAAGAGGGAGAAACCTCTGTAGGTATGGAGCTGTCTGTTATGAGGAACAGTGTATGGACATCCAAGGAATAAGGGGAAATGTCTTGGGTACAGTAATAATCTCAGCAACTTTATTGTGATTTCCTTATGTTACAGACTGGTGTCCTGAGTTGTAACTTAGTTTGCAAGAAAGTATATAACAATGAGGAGTAAATGGTGTGCAATCAGTGTAAATGTTCCTACCCTTCAGTTTTTTTAAGGCTTTAATACATTAATGCTCATGTTTTCCATTTGGAGATCACCCAAGTCATATTACCAGGAAAAGATATATTTGCTGCATTATTTTTTTAATCCATAAATTCTGTTTCTGTTTTGCCTGAGATCATTATGACACTTAGGAGGTCAGCTGATGCTTGGTGTAGTTGTGAGTTTAGTTCCGGTATCCTGGATTAGGTTTCATTAGTCTTAGTGATATGGTCTATATCAGAAGGGTAAAGCTTCACTTATCAGAATGTTTTTCTCTCCTCCTTTCTTTGTAAGCGCTGTGTAAAGTTCCACATACCAGAAATGGAAACACCCAGCGCAAATACAAATGACCAATTACAGTTAACTTTAATGTTTTCTTCCTATATCAACCTTGTTGGCAAGTACTGTCTTCTGTGTGGTGTCACGCTTGGGTGAGAGACCCGTTCTGCAGCTGTCCCACCACTGCAGAGGTACTTGCAAACACCTGGTGATGCTCTGCAGCAACTGAACCCTCTGCATACTGCAGCACACTCCACTCTGGTCACACATTCAGACCTGCCTGGGTTTTAATACTCTTGCAGCTTTGGGGAGCTGTAGCAGAAGCAGCAGTGTCTCTCGTGTGCATTCAGACAGACTGCACTGAGAGCCAGGGTGAGGGGGGAATGGCATCCCTAGGCTTTGCCCCTAGGAGGGCAAGGAGAAGGGCAAGGAAGGAGGTAAGGTCAGCTGGCCAAACTCGCTGCGCTGGCAGTTAGGTGTTCCTGCACACACCTGATAAAAGCAGTGTGCCCAAGGGGGATCGCAGGGAGATGGGCATGCAACAAACATGTTTCATCTCTGCCAAAGTTAAGGTTTCTGCCTCCCACCTGCCTGTGCCAGCTACAAAAACTGCCCACACTTCCTAATTAGGATCATTTAATTTAATTCAAGAGAAAAAAATCTACTATGATGAATTTTCAAGCAAATTTGGTCCTGAGACTGAACGTGGCTGGGGAGTGATTACATAAATAATCAACGTGGCAGGTCCAAGAGAGTGATAACATCTGGAGAGCGGGAATGCTGTTTGCTAACCCTGTTCTGCTACAGCAAAGACAGATCATGCAGTTGAAGCACTATACTGATCAGAAAAGATGGCAATAATCTTATACAGGTAGATTTCCTTAGCTTTAATTTCCCTCTGTGTTTGTAGATCTTCTAAGCTCTGTAGATAGCTGTGAGTAATTTCACCATTTCTAAAAACAGCATGGCTTTTATTTTTTCTAGATGCACGAGTACAAATCTTCAACCCATCGCATTTTTCGTTTGAACAACATAGCCAAAGCACTTAAGTTCTTGGAGGACAGTAATGTGAGTATTTTCAAAGGCGGGTCTTAATATCTTCTCTTGATGTATATTGCAATTTCTAATTGTTGTAATTGTAACTCGTTTGATGTGCTGCACAGGAGGAATGTACTGCTTAAAGGCACTGTGATTTACCTTAGCAGCAAGGCTGAAAAGCCACATAAAAATGCCCAACGAGAACACCTACAGAGTCTAAAACAAGGATTATTTGTTCATTTCATAACGTAAAAGTTCAACAGGATTAAAGGCTCAGGAACCCAATATTAAAAGAAAATAGAAAAAGAAATGCAAGTAATCTTTATGAACTGGGTCTTAGTGGCATTACTTCAGTTACACTGAATGTAGGTGACTTTCTTTCATCAGAAATGCTTTCAGTATTACAAATCGTGTATTTATCTGGTAAACTGCTGCAGCAGCTGATCATGAGTCAAAGGCAAGAGAAAATGAAATCTGGGAACATGACATAAATGCATAATTCCAGGAATCAAAACCTTATAAGGATATAACTTCCCTCAGAGTCCATGTGGCACTACTGCAACATCACTTCCTATACTGGTGACCAAGCAAGATCAGACCCTGTAGCTTGAAATGATTCATTTTTTTTTTTTTTTTTTTGTTTTTGTTTTAATTTCTCCCATTAGAGCTTTATTCCAAAGCCCTACAGATGTGGTCTGTTTCTTGAAGACTCTCTGCTCTTGAAAAATGTTGAGAAGTAATGGGCTCAAGAGAAGTCCCAGCCATGTAACAACTCACATACCTGGTACAGCTAGATCTTTCAGAAAGCAAAAACAAATATTGGACTATTTCCTATGAAAGACTGCGGCATTCTTGCTGTACTGAAAGACTTTTTAAATCTAGTTATCTGAAATAAAGTTCTTCAACTTCTCCAATATATCATCTGGAAAGAAAATGTAATTGAAGATCCTTTCGACTCCAGGGTGCAAATACTCTATAGGGTTTAAACTTTATGGGCAAAGAGGGATCCAGTGTGTGCGTAAGGGCAAAACCCTGCTTCATGGAATGCCACACCAGCAACTGATGTCACTTTGCTCCTTCTCTACAATGAGCTTAGCTCTTGCTGCAGAGATCCTGCAACAGGGCTAGTCATGCAGGAGAGTCACTGCAACCCCACTGCAGGAACAAGCATGTCATGAGGTCTTCGTGGATCTCTTACGACCTGGTAGATGTGGGAGGTTTAACCTCCTTTGGGTTTTTCCCCAGGGGACAATGTAAAAAGGTCAAGAAGTTGTCAAATAACTTCCAGGTGTTCCAGTCTCCTTTTGGAAATTCCACCAGTAGGGGCTGCTCTGGCCCTAAATGCGTATGTCTACATGTCCTGCTGTAGAACTGCTAAGAAGTATTTTACAAGTACTCAAAATTTCTTAGCAGTTTCCCAGTTGATGATTTCTACCCAAATCCAGCTAAGGTACTAGCAGATGAGATTATTATTTTTTTTCTCTGTTGATACCAACACATTGCAGAGCTGCAGCTGAAGCACATCTGGTTGCCAGGAGCTCTGTAGAGAACAAAGTAGACCCTCAGTGATCAAGGCCAGGCAGGAGGAGTTTTGGACACAAGCGGCCTTTTAGTTAGTGGTGCTAAAACACCTACTTTTCTATGGATTTCTTGTTTCCTTAAGGGGAAGCAGCCAATCTGTTATAGCCAGGTATCTCTACTGGGCTGGGTGACAAACATGAGCAGCAGTAGGAGGACAGAGCTGACACCGAGAGCAGTCTAATGGTAAATGCCACTTGCTCCCCATTTTGGAGAAACTGTTATTCAAATGTACTAGGTCTTAAAGGCTTTCCCGTGCCCAGTACCTTGGAGCCAGCAAGAAATGTGAGCCTTGACATATGACAGCTAGAGGTGTCTTCTTGCTAAGATTGAAAACTCTTGTGCAAACCACTAGATAAAAAGTTATTTTGCTTTCCTTTTTCTCCAGTGTAACCAAACCGGTTAGTGAAGGGCGGTGATGAAAGCGTTGGCAAAATGCCTTGGCTGCCAAGAGCTTCAGGGTTAGATATTAAACCACAATGGGTGGAACCCGTCAGCGTGCGCTTCTGTGGAATCCTTAGCAGGGTAAAGTACTGCTAAGTGATTCATCCTGTACGGGATTTCTCAGTGATAAATGGGCTGTATGCTGGGCTTTAACTCGGCCCGGGCGTCATGTGCAGTCCCGACAGCTTCCTTGCTTCCGCCCTCCTCCCTGACCTTTGCCAAAACCAAGTCTGTGTCGTCTAAGAGAATAACATCCTGGTGTTATCAGGTGGAAGAAACCACAGTGTGGGAAAGTCTAGAGTTTGCTTGGATTAAGCAACTCTATCCCTTGCTAAGTGATTTAATCAGAGCTCTGTGACAAGCTGTGTAAGGTGAGAGAAGCGAGGAGAAAGGAGATGCATAGCAAAACAGAAGTAAGCAGATTTACTAGGACTTTGATTTTCCTATGAGTATTGACTCTCTACTTGTTAAGAATAGGATCCACTGGTGGGGGCACCATCTTGTTCCATTTTTCTATGCAGGAAATGTGTTTGTGGTCCTGAGGATCCCAAGACTGGGATCACGTCTGTTCTGTGCTTGAGAACAGGAGTTCCATGAGCAGGGTGGTTGTGATCAGGGCAAATTATCATTAACACATGGTTTCAGTCTTGCTTTTTGTCTGACCAGTCAGTGGCAGAAGTCTTCTGGCCATATCCAGTAGTCTCAGTGCATTTTTTCATTTACCTTGCTTCTTTGAATTCAGCTCTGAATTTATGATCTCTTCTACAGGTAAAGCTTGTTAGCATCGATGCAGCAGAAATAGCAGATGGAAATTCGTCTCTGGTACTTGGACTAATATGGAATATAATCTTGTTTTTTCAGGTAATAAAACTTGAATACTTTAATCATAAGAGATCAGTCTTCATGGTATCAATCTATTCCAGCTGAATACTGATTTTTTAAATTGATTTTTAATCCTAAAGAACATCATTAAGCATGTTAACCCTGAGCTTTTCCCTCCTAATATACGCTGATTTTATACCTGCAGCTGCTTTCATTTTACTTCATTGGACCTATTTTGGTGTAAATAGCAGATAATTTAAGCCCTTGTTTGACTTGGACCAGAATTAGAGCTTCAGATTACTACTTTCCCTTCTCTCCTGTGCCTTCTCAGCATTCTGCTCCAGATTCCCTGGATATGAACCAATGTCTCGGGTTTGGTTCCAGGTCACAGTTTATTTTCAATAACCTTCTCTGGATTTGGTCCAGTGTGGTGGGAAATTCCATGTAGAATCACTGATCTCCGGAGGCTTACTGAACATGGCAAGAATTCACAACTGATGTAGAGGGCCAAATGAAAGATCTTGAAGGGCCTGGAACTGATAAAACTGGTTTGAGCCTGAAAATTGTTTTAGCCCCAGTCTTAGATTAAAACTGCTCCCTAATCTACACATATTTTGAAAATATCCTTCTAGACAATACCAAATTGTTATGAACACAGAGAGAGGGAGTGAGGGTTTCTGCAGCTTTTGTAAGACTATGAGGCTCCTTCATTCTCTTAGGCTCATTTCTAAATTGGCTAGCGGTTTAAAAAATAATCTCAAAGTGGCACTGGGATTCCTTTCCCCGGCTGGGCTCCTCGAGCTGCACAGTGTGCACAGCACTGATTTGGCCAGATGGACTCATAGGCAGAGATGGTGTGACCAGAATCTGTCACCCCAACAGCAGAGGGAGGACATGGGGGACCTCAAAAGCAGCAGAGTGGATGACCTGGACTCAAATATCAACGCTGAGCAGGACAAGAGTGCTGCTGCTGGTCACCATTTCTTGACTAAAAATATTTCACTCAAGCAAGTCCCAGGAAAAGAAAGAACAATTTCAGTTAAACTAACTTTTCTTTCAAGGATGCATTTCTTTGCTTTCTGTTTGCTACGAATTTTCCCAGTTCAGCCTGAACTGGTACCTTGCCCTTTCCATTTCCTGGGGTTGCCAGCTGGGCTGCTGCTGCCTGTCACACCTGTGCAATACAAGTTGAGAGCTCTAATGGACAAGTCTGTAATTACCTCTTAAAATTCAGTTATGGCACTGTTATCTTTCAAGTTTGCATGAAAACAAGCACTAGAGTTTTCCATGCAGCCGGCGTTAAACCTGAGCGCTGGGTGTTTCACCCTTTTATTACAGATTAAGGAGCTGACGGGTAACCTCAACAGGAACTCCTCCTCCTCCAGCCTGTCCTCCGGGCCCAGCGGTCCCGAGTCGGACACGTCCCACCCCAGCACTCCCTGCGTGGAGAGAAGCATGTCCATCACAGTGAAGGACCAGCGGAAAGCCATCAGAGCCCTTTTAATCTGGGTTCAGAGGAAAACCAGAAAGTAAGCTAACAAACCCTCGGGGGAAAATGTGTTTTGCCACCTGCCCTTTTGAAGCTGAATCTCTTTTCTCTCTCCTGCCCCGTGTGTGTGTTACCATGTGCTGTGGCTTCTGTGCAGGTACAAGGTCTCTGCAGGAGGGTAGGTCACTACGGCTGGGTATCTCCAGCAGCAGTCTGACCTTGAAGCTGTGTGTGTTGCTGGCTTTGTGATTTAAGTGTTAAATGTTAACTTGCCCTAATCTGCTTGGTGCTGTTTAAAACAGGACCATTCCCTCCTCTCCCTACCCCCTGGCTTCCATGCCGTCTATTTGATACCTTTCGCTCGTTAAAGGGTAGGCATAAACAAGGGGTGAACTGAAAAGATAAATATATTGAAAGACTTTAGCAGCAGCCTTTTGAATTAAGAAGCAGCTCTGAGGGAGCTTCTCAGTGTGCTGCAGAGTGCCTTGAAGGACAGGGCCCATATTAGAGTCCCTCTTTCCTCACAACTAAGATGATGAGAGGGCTGGAGTACCTCTACTATGAAGGCAGACTGAGTGAGCTGGGGTTGTTCAGCCTGGAGAAGAGAAGCCTCTGGAGAGACCTTCTAGCAGCCTTCCAGTATCTGAAGGAGGCCTACAGGACAGCTGGAGAGGGGCATTTTACAAGGGCATGTAGTGATAGGACAAGGGGTAACAGCTTCAAACTGGACGACTGTAGATTTAGATTACATCTCAGGAAGAAATTTTTCACTCTGAGGGCGGTGAGACACTGGAACAGGTTGCCTAGGGAAGCTGTGGATGCCCCATCCCTGGAAGCATTCAAGGCCAGGCTGGATGGGGCTTTGAGCAACCTGGTGCTTGTTGTGCAGATGTACTTGTCCCACTGAGACCTGTAGTTCACTGCTGCCAATGCAGCCCATAAAGGAAGCACAGTTTTAATGCAAAAATAATGCTGATAATAACATTAATGGGGAGAGGGTCAAGGAAAGTGAGGACCAGAGAAGTAAAGGCCACAGACTTTTCAGAGCAGTCAGAGTACAATTTGCGAATATCTAAGAGGAGAAAATTGTTCTTGCAACTGCACCATTAAAAACATAATAGTGTCATTATAATCCCATTATCCAATGACCTGTGCAGAATTTTCTATTCTGGGGCTGTATTTCATTGCAAGTTTGACAGTTGTTTTTCCTTCCAAAACTTTGGGCATCTTACACACTTGCGGTTTATACATATACTGACACCATTTGCATTTGGCAAAGCACAATTTTCTGCTATAGAAGGCCAAGTACATAGGAATGTGAATCATTTATGCTTATGTTTTTAAGTACTTAAGTGTTGGCAGTCTTCCCAAGCTATGGCATTAAAATGCTGGAGAGTAACAGAAACAGCAATCACAGAGACATTTGGTTTTGTGAATGTTAAATGTGGTTGCTGAGTTCTTGAGGGCTTTGTTTTTAATAACTACTTCCTACAAGCAGGTTGATGTCAGCTGTTAGTGACACCAATCCAGTTTGTGAATCCTGGTGTTTTATGGATGTATTCTGTGCCTTTTGAAATCCAAAAAGATCTCAAATGTGACTAGTGCAACTCGTCAACCTTACTTTTGACTTTCAGGAGTCTTTGAAAATGATGATGCCATTACTTTGGATTTTGTAACACGACCACCCATGTAAACTGTATGTCATTCTGTTCAGGTACGGTGTCGCAGTTCAGGACTTTGCCAGCAGTTGGAGGAGCGGCCTTGCTTTCTTAGCTGTCATAAAAGCAATAGACTCTACTTTGGTAGACATGAAGCAAGCACTGGAGAAACCGGCTCGAGAAAACCTGGAGGATGCTTTCAGCATAGCACAAAACAAGCTGGGTGTTCCTCGGCTCCTAGAACCAGAAGGTAAAATGCCTACATCAGCTCTGTTGGGTGACATTCTAACTGTAATGAATTAATGAATATTGCATTGTGATACCTATTAAAAACCTCCCAGTGAGGGAGGCTGTTGATGTGATCAGTGCATTAGGCTGATCGATAAGAAAAATACAAATGAATTGGTCACTGGCATGTAGTTGTATGCTTCCAGTCATAATTTTAAGCTCCTTAAGGGCAGGGATCTAACCATAGTTTTAGCTATGTACACTGGTCCTGGTTAATGTTTAGATGCTATGTGATATTTCCATTACTAGCAGGCATGAATCCCCACCCTGTTGCGCTGAGAGGTCTCTCCATGCATTAGCACCACTTCGTAATGCCTACTACAGTCTGCAGAGACTGAATGTCACTCCAGGATGAAGTCTGCCAGTCTGTCAGTCTGTCATACCAGGAAAATGGGTAGACAGCTATTCAAATGTATTTGAATCTCCCGGTTTTTCCTTTATAATGCATATATACACAGATATATTTTTATATATAAACATAAGCATATATGTGTGTATATAAGTATATGTATGCTTCTTGCAGTTTGTTTTGGTCTAGATGGGTATTAGGCCTTGATTTTATGACTGAAAGCACAAATTGGTTATTTGTGCTTTCCTGGGTCACCTGTTTGAAGACTGGGCTGTCCTGCTAAAAAGAAACCTCTGCGCAGCCACTCAGCCAGATCACTGTCTACTGATAACAATGTAAATGACAGTATGAAGGTGGATGAAAAGGGACACTGATCAGGGTTCGGGATGTGTTTGGAAATAAGAAAAAATTAATGTGAATAAGATGTTGAGAACTCTTTCAAGTACCAACAATAGTGAGAAGGATTTTACCCTCTCTGATCTGTCAGAGAAAGAAAAGTCCTTGTAGCTGTTATTTCTGTCATCATCAAGGCCGGATAATTGGCTGACAATCTGTTCCAATGCAAGAGCATTTTAAAGCCATGTGTCCTTAAGCCCCTTGCATCTGTCCCCATAGATATCATGGTGGAATCACCCGATGAACAGTCAATTGTGACGTATGTGGCGCAATTTCTGGAACACTTCCCGGAGCTGGAAGGGGTATGTGTTTGTTTTTATTTCTTTAATTTGCTTTGTCGTACTTAATAAAGTCAGATATTGCTGTAATTGTCTTCTAGGCTTCTTTCTAAGCTATTTAAAATAAACCAAAAACTTAGTTTTAATTTTTCACATTTTTGTTAAATCCAGTCTAATGGGATTAGGGATTGCTAAAATGTTTTAGGTAGAACTTTGCTTTTAAACATTTACATCCAATTATAGCTTTCAGAGGTTAGAACTAGTTACTACTTTGCTATATTAGTCTCAGAGTAAAGCTGAAGATCATCATCTATGATGATTCAGTGGATTTTGAATTTCATTTTGACTTCTATCTTCTCAAGTTTGAGAGCCACAATCAACCTGAATTTAACAGATATTGTATCAGGTGCAAGATACCAAGCGTTGAATCTTGCCAATAAAGCAGTCAAAAGTACTCATTGTAAGCATGAAATAAACTACAGCTTAAAAGACCAGAACTGTAATACAAACTTTTTCAAAAATAAAGAACTGAGCAGGAACTGACAGTGCCAGGGAATGACAAAGGTCTTTTGGAGAAAGAGAGGATAAACTTATAGAGGAATTAAAGGATAGGAGACAGAAAACTCAAGGAAAAATGGGAAGCTCCAGAAACTGGAGAAAAGATCTGCCGAAGTTGAAAAAACTGTTCTGGAGGCTGCTCGTACTTCCAGACAAACCTAGTCCAGCATAGTCTTTTTGGTTTGAAAGGGTTCCCAAGGGACTCAGTGTCTCTTGAGAAGCTGGGTAGGTTTTTGTGCTAACGTACCTGCACAGAAATGATGGTTCCTACACAAAAGGCATTTCCTCTCATTTCTTGTCTGAAGGTTCTAGTTGTATGAATTTTGTAGCTTATAAAATTGGTGGACATTACTAAAGTCACTGGAATTAAAATTATTATAACAATCTATTTATGATTATTAGAGTAGATGAGCATTAAGATTTATTGGCATTAAGACTTGTGGGCATTTTAATGGACAAAAAAAAACCCTACTTTTTTTTTGAAAATACAGAATGGAATAATCTAGCATATTAATATATTTCACAATGGATTTAATGCACTTTTTAGATTTATTTTATTCCCAGGGTTTGGGATGGTGTCAAAACGCCAAGTCAGTTGTCTCCACAAGTGCAGCAGGGAGAGATGAATACATTACCAGCTGAGGAGTAGATTTGTCTACATTCTAATCATATTCTGCAAATGGCTTCTTGACACTGGGCTTTGTTCAACTCACTTGACTTGCCAAATTGGTTTCCCTACTTTCAAAATAAACGAGTCATTAATTGGCTCAAGGTAGTAAGGTGATGGGCTAGGTAGTTACTCTGTCTGTAGTGTTTGGGAAAAGTAAGATGGTATCTGAGAATTGATTTGTCTTTTAATGATGTATCATCACTTATAGGAAGACTTTACAGATCCTGACAAGGAGCTTCCAATTGAGTCCACTTATGTCCACATCAAAGATACACCTTCAGAAGAAGAAAGCAAAATCTTGATTTTAAGTGAAAGTGAAGAAAACATGTATACTGTTAATCACGAAAGGAGTCATCCTGCTCCTCCAAAGGTTCATATTCATGACACACTTGAGAGCGTCCCATCAGAAACTGCTCCTGAAAAATGTAATGGGAAATTGAGTCACGAGTTCGGTGATGCACAGGAAATGTCTGAAGAGGAGCCTCAGAGGCCTACCTCACTGAAAATTAAAGGATCTGTCAGTTTTGAATCCAATTCCTCTTGGGAGGTTCTAAATGACAAATTCATGCCAGGTGAAGGGGGCATACCTTATGATCCACTGAAACAGAATGATGAGCTTTCTCCAGCTGTTCTGACAGATCAGAAAAATTCTGTTGACTCTTTTGAAGACTACTCTGAAGAGTTAACTAAGGAAACCTCTACGGAATATGATAACGAAACTAAGAGCCTTTCAGCCAATACTTCTTCTTTGAGTCCACTATCCTGGACTTCAGGTATACTTACAGATGAATCTATAAATAAAGCAGAAGAGACAAAGCCCCAGACTTCAATTCTTTTACCAGAAGATACCTCAAAACAAGAAGATACACATAAGTATGTTCTTCATCTTCTAAATGAGGAAATACTGAAGCTTCCACAGAATGAACATACAAAGCAATCACCTGACTTTGAGACAACAGAAACTAACCATTGTTCACTGAATGGTTCTAATCTCAAAAGCCAAGAACAATCTACACAGCATGAAACATCTGACGATTCTCTCTCAGATGTGCCTAAAACTCCAGAGGACCTGGACAGCTCTGATGAAGCTGAGCCTTCAGATGAAATGCTACCCAGTTCGTCAAAAGTATCTGTAATACCCCATGATCTCTTTTATTATCCACATTATAATGTTCCCATATCAGCAGTTTTGGATGCTTACCTTGAGCCTTGTATTAAAGGTTATAATACTGGAAATGGCACAGCTTCTTCTGAAACAGTAACGGATGTTTTACATGAGAAGGGCATACCAGAACAGAACTACAAGGATGATGCTCCAGAGCCAGACTTAGGGAATAATCTAGATGGTATCCCTCCATCAGAAATGGATACTGAGAATGTCAAGGAGGAAGCTACAGACATTAACAGTCACATGAATTCTTCCAATGAAAATGAAGTGCCATTAATAGTAGTAGAAGAGTTAGAAATTGAAAATGATGGCAAAAAGGCCACCAACCATCAAGACTCCACTATTCCAGAACATCCTGAGGTATTTTATTTTTTTATTACCAGCATTTTTTTGTGTACATATGGAGGACCAGCATCTGACCTCAATGGTTTTTATTTAGTTTCATTTTGCAATGTTTTAGAGACATATGTAGAATGTACTTGGTTTCCTGTCTGCTAAGGCTGTTTGCCACAGCCCTCTACTGGAATGAATGGAATTGCAGAGCCCTAGGAAGATCTGACATTAAAAGACAGAGTAAGCCGTAATACTATTAATACTGCAAAAAAGTGAATTTTAATTATGCTTTAAAGTAGTTCGAGTCTCCTGTATGATCTCTAGACGTAAAAGATTATCACAGAGGGTATTTTTAATAATTTGTAACAAGATGAACAGAAAGTAGTATTGCTGATATAGAAAGGTAACTTTTGTCAGAATCCAAATTAGTTTGCCTACAAAAACTTGAACAGATTTGAGTAGGAGAATTTATGTGGGTAAAATGAATGCTTGTCTATATTAGAGGAGGAGAAAGAGATTTTTGGTCATTATTCTCTGTATTGAATTTCGGCAATTCGCTACTGTATCTCTACTTTCAGAGACTGATTTTTGAATTGTCTTACACGTTTTCCAGCGCAGTAATTTTAGACAGTGTTTTTCAGGAATGTGTGTCCATTTAATGTTACTCTGCATGTTACTGAGATAAGTTGCTTGGACATGTTTTGGTCCTGTCACTTCCTAGAGTAATGAACTTAATTTGCTGTTAGCTTCAAAAGCTAATTGGGGATAGATTAAAAAACGTCTTAGCAGATTAATTCAAAGAGCCATGCCTTCTTATATAAAAAGATCTGACAACTAATTGTATGTATGTTGAACTGATGTTACTTTATAGCACAATGTATCCAATATGATCTTCAAGAAATGAATTGCTTTTTATTGTCTTTAGTGAGACTTTCAATCTTGTACTACATGCAGTTTAGCATCTGAGTAGGCTACACCACTAAGATATTTAGAAGGGTAGGGTGAACAGTCTTCTTGTCTAATGCAAAATGTTTCTTAATTTCAACAGGCCATAGTAGAACATCTAGAGGATTTATCAATAGCCATAGAGAGACCAGAAAAAAATAGCACTAGGGAGGAAGAGGAGAAAAATATGGTCGAAGCAGAAGATTTGCAGATCTCAGAAGTTGCCACTACTGCTCTGTCGCAAGATAAACTGGAAGAAATTGCTGATTGTCAGGAATCATCCAGGTATTTCATATTTACTTTGTCTTAAATACACCTAGCTAGTATGAATGCCAGGTCTTTTGAAGTGTTCCTTGTCCATTGGATGTTTCTTGTAGACTTCTTTTAGGAGCACTGTAGTGGGACTCACTGGCTTCTTCCTGTGTTTATCTTAAACGCGTGTGTTTATATTAAACATGAGTGATTCAGTGCCAATGGGACTTGACTTTGCTATACAAAGTTTGCTACACAAAACCCAACTGGAAGCCCATTTTGAACATGGCAGTGTTATAACTGTTTTTCCAACAGAAAGAGTGTTTTGTAACGTAGATGAAATAATCCGTGTGCATTGTGACACTCCGTGGAAGTGTAACACTGCTTCTCTCCAATAAATATTTGTTGGCCTTTTTTTTTTCTATGAACAAATGAACGTGTCTATGGTAGGTTGACCTTGGCTGGCCACCAGGTGCCCACCAAGCCACTATTTTATTCCCCATCCTCAGCGGGATGGGGGGAAGAAAATAAGATTAAAAACTCATGGGTTGCTTCAGAAGACAAATGCCTTAATAGTGAAAGTATATATGTGTCCCTCTGCCTTCCTCCTTTCTTTTAGTTTTTATTGCTGAGCATAACATCATATGGTATGGAATATGCCTTTGGTCATTTTGGGTCAGCTGTCCCAGCTGTATTCCCTTCCAACCTCCTGCCCACCTCCAGCCTACTGGCCTTTGCGGAGGGTTGGAGAGACAACCTTGGCGCTGTGCGAGCACTGCTCAGTGACCGCCGAATATATAGGGATGTTACCTGCACCCGAGCCAGACCCAGCACAGAGACACTCAGCTAATTGTACTCCATTTGCTTCTGTTTCCACTTACATTCTAATTTAGTTCTTAGGTAATGTGTTTGAGTGGGACACGAACTGTGATTTCTTGATGCTTATGATGATAGCATTTGAAAGAATTTGCTTAGAAAAACCCATTGTGTCCCTCAAGCTTTCTGTTCCCTGCAAGGTCTGTCAATTTTATATTTTTATACAGACAACCATAAACCCTGGGATATACTCTCACTTAAATGTAAATGACACTAAAGATGCAAAACCCCTATCAGATACTATTTTTCAGAAAAGATTTGAAAATGAATATTTTAGCATGGGTCAAATTTTCTCAGAGCTATTTTTTATAATGTTACTGATAAATTCAAGTCCATATTGTAATACATGCAACAATGCACACTTGTGGTTTTGCATAACTTAAAACAAGCATGTGCAACTCCAGGGGCTTTCTTTGAAATCAAAACAAAACTTAGGTTTATGAATTTAAAAAATTGGTTTTACATACATTTCAGAACCAGTGATATTGACTCCAACATTCATCTCCGGAGAAGATTTCCTAATACTTCTGAGGAGGTAAGTATGTGGAAATTTACCTTTTATCACTGTTTCTCTATTTCTCTTAAACTCCAGAAGTTCACATACTGTAAAATGGTCCACTCTACAGATAAGCCCTATGATAATCCAAAAGCCCTGTGGCTTCTAATAATTTTTTTGCCAAAACCAGGCAGAGCTGAAAAAGCTTTATTGAACTCTCCCAAATATATGGAACAGAACCTCACTGAACCTTGAACAAACCCACAAAGGAGTACCCAATACTGCAATTAAATCTATTGTAACTTTGATGCTTATTTTGTTGGAACTGTATAGCTGCAACATTCCGCTTCTTTGAAGCTGGCTTCATTTGCTGCTCCAGTTTCTCGAAGTTTTGATATTCTCTGTATGTATGTTGCTGTCCTGGTTACTGCCCTGCAAAAATGCTGGATGTCTCTTGAAGTGCACTTTTTAGAAAAGATTGGGCTCCCTCCCTGCCCTTCACAGTAGTAGCGTATTACATCATCTCAATAGCAACAGCTGCCCCTAAAAGAATTTTAGCTGGAATGTGAAACTGCATCCTTAATGGCAGATGTAATTCATATTGGTTTCTTGAGAGCACACTATACAACTGAGCTCTAGATTTTCGTTTTTTCACTTGGAAGGAAGGGACAGCAACAGCAGTCTGGGCACGCTGAGCAAGGGTAGGAGTATGGCTCTTTTCAGCACCAAATAAAATTTTGACCTTCTTGAAGTTTTAAAGAAATGCTGCCACCAATGTTCAATGAAATGGAGGTTTCACATAGATGCTGTGGTTTTGCCATGCTGTCAGAGCTACTAGAAATATATATGAATAAGGGGAGCCTTATTGAATGAAAGCAGCTGAAAGCAAAAAAAAATCTTCTTTCACAACTTTTTTCCTTTTCTGTGTGTGTACCAGACTGCAGTGGTGGATGTGCAGGCAGGGAACAAATTTATAAGCACACTTGATCATTTTAGATGAGCAAATGTTAGACATACTCTGCAAAGCATGCACACACAACCTCCCTCTTTGCGAGATGCTGAATTTTATTTGTTTATATAATCTATTCCTGGTTTGTTCGTTTGCTTGTTTCAGGAAACCTGTGGTGAAAACAAGAAGATGACAGACGTGAATGAAAGTCCATTAAATGTCAGGTGAGTGGTTCTTATTCAGACAAAGCCTTTTGCAAGGAATCCGTAACTCCTAGGTACTTCTAAGAATGTTACAAAGGGAATTGAAAATTGACTATAATGGTAGAGACTGAATGGACATCGTGTGTAATGGCTCAGAGTCCTTATTTTCCATAGGTGTAAGGCACAAAACTTCTTTATTGCTAGTTTTTCTCCTTGACCAAAATGCTTTTTCTTCCATAGGTGTAAGGCACAAAACTTCTTTATTGCTAGTTTTTCTCCTTGACTAAAATGCTTTTTCTTGACTGGAAAGATTCAGCTGCCTAAGCAAGACTGTGAGCACTGTCCCCACATGGCGGGTATTTCAGACCAAGGAAGGAACCGGAGGACTTCAAATAAGCCTGTCCCCACATGGCGGGTATTTCAGACCACGAAAAGAGTGGGAGGACTTCAAATAAACTTATGTCCACATCAAAGATACACCTTCAGAAGAAGAAAGCAAAATCTTGATTTTAAGTGAAAGTGAAGAAAACATGTATACTGTTAATCACGAAAGGAGTCATCCTGCTCCTCCAAAGGTTCATATTCATGACACACTTGAGAGCGTCCCATCAGAAACTGCTCCTGAAAAATGTAATGGGAAATTGAGTCACGAGTTCGGTGATGCACAGGAAATGTCTGAAGAGGAGCCTCAGAGGCCTACCTCACTGAAAATTAAAGGATCTGTCAGTTTTGAATCCAATTCCTCTTGGGAGGTTCTAAATGACAAATTCATGCCAGGTGAAGGGGGCATACCTTATGATCCACTGAAACAGAATGATGAGCTTTCTCCAGCTGTTCTGACAGATCAGAAAAATTCTGTTGACTCTTTTGAAGACTACTCTGAAGAGTTAACTAAGGAAACCTCTACGGAATATGATAACGAAACTAAGAGCCTTTCAGCCAATACTTCTTCTTTGAGTCCACTATCCTGGACTTCAGGTATACTTACAGATGAATCTATAAATAAAGCAGAAGAGACAAAGCCCCAGACTTCAATTCTTTTACCAGAAGATACCTCAAAACAAGAAGATACACATAAGTATGTTCTTCATCTTCTAAATGAGGAAATACTGAAGCTTCCACAGAATGAACATACAAAGCAATCACCTGACTTTGAGACAACAGAAACTAACCATTGTTCACTGAATGGTTCTAATCTCAAAAGCCAAGAACAATCTACACAGCATGAAACATCTGACGATTCTCTCTCAGATGTGCCTAAAACTCCAGAGGACCTGGACAGCTCTGATGAAGCTGAGCCTTCAGATGAAATGCTACCCAGTTCGTCAAAAGTATCTGTAATACCCCATGATCTCTTTTATTATCCACATTATAATGTTCCCATATCAGCAGTTTTGGATGCTTACCTTGAGCCTTGTATTAAAGGTTATAATACTGGAAATGGCACAGCTTCTTCTGAAACAGTAACGGATGTTTTACATGAGAAGGGCATACCAGAACAGAACTACAAGGATGATGCTCCAGAGCCAGACTTAGGGAATAATCTAGATGGTATCCCTCCATCAGAAATGGATACTGAGAATGTCAAGGAGGAAGCTACAGACATTAACAGTCACATGAATTCTTCCAATGAAAATGAAGTGCCATTAATAGTAGTAGAAGAGTTAGAAATTGAAAATGATGGCAAAAAGGCCACCAACCATCAAGACTCCACTATTCCAGAACATCCTGAGGTATTTTATTTTTTTATTACCAGCATTTTTTTGTGTACATATGGAGGACCAGCATCTGACCTCAATGGTTTTTATTTAGTTTCATTTTGCAATGTTTTAGAGACATATGTAGAATGTACTTGGTTTCCTGTCTGCTAAGGCTGTTTGCCACAGCCCTCTACTGGAATGAATGGAATTGCAGAGCCCTAGGAAGATCTGACATTAAAAGACAGAGTAAGCCGTAATACTATTAATACTGCAAAAAAGTGAATTTTAATTATGCTTTAAAGTAGTTCGAGTCTCCTGTATGATCTCTAGACGTAAAAGATTATCACAGAGGGTATTTTTAATAATTTGTAACAAGATGAACAGAAAGTAGTATTGCTGATATAGAAAGGTAACTTTTGTCAGAATCCAAATTAGTTTGCCTACAAAAACTTGAACAGATTTGAGTAGGAGAATTTATGTGGGTAAAATGAATGCTTGTCTATATTAGAGGAGGAGAAAGAGATTTTTGGTCATTATTCTCTGTATTGAATTTCGGCAATTCGCTACTGTATCTCTACTTTCAGAGACTGATTTTTGAATTGTCTTACACGTTTTCCAGCGCAGTAATTTTAGACAGTGTTTTTCAGGAATGTGTGTCCATTTAATGTTACTCTGCATGTTACTGAGATAAGTTGCTTGGACATGTTTTGGTCCTGTCACTTCCTAGAGTAATGAACTTAATTTGCTGTTAGCTTCAAAAGCTAATTGGGGATAGATTAAAAAACGTCTTAGCAGATTAATTCAAAGAGCCATGCCTTCTTATATAAAAAGATCTGACAACTAATTGTATGTATGTTGAACTGATGTTACTTTATAGCACAATGTATCCAATATGATCTTCAAGAAATGAATTGCTTTTTATTGTCTTTAGTGAGACTTTCAATCTTGTACTACATGCAGTTTAGCATCTGAGTAGGCTACACCACTAAGATATTTAGAAGGGTAGGGTGAACAGTCTTCTTGTCTAATGCAAAATGTTTCTTAATTTCAACAGGCCATAGTAGAACATCTAGAGGATTTATCAATAGCCATAGAGAGACCAGAAAAAAATAGCACTAGGGAGGAAGAGGAGAAAAATATGGTCGAAGCAGAAGATTTGCAGATCTCAGAAGTTGCCACTACTGCTCTGTCGCAAGATAAACTGGAAGAAATTGCTGATTGTCAGGAATCATCCAGGTATTTCATATTTACTTTGTCTTAAATACACCTAGCTAGTATGAATGCCAGGTCTTTTGAAGTGTTCCTTGTCCATTGGATGTTTCTTGTAGACTTCTTTTAGGAGCACTGTAGTGGGACTCACTGGCTTCTTCCTGTGTTTATCTTAAACGCGTGTGTTTATATTAAACATGAGTGATTCAGTGCCAATGGGACTTGACTTTGCTATACAAAGTTTGCTACACAAAACCCAACTGGAAGCCCATTTTGAACATGGCAGTGTTATAACTGTTTTTCCAACAGAAAGAGTGTTTTGTAACGTAGATGAAATAATCCGTGTGCATTGTGACACTCCGTGGAAGTGTAACACTGCTTCTCTCCAATAAATATTTGTTGGCCTTTTTTTTTTCTATGAACAAATGAACGTGTCTATGGTAGGTTGACCTTGGCTGGCCACCAGGTGCCCACCAAGCCACTATTTTATTCCCCATCCTCAGCGGGATGGGGGGAAGAAAATAAGATTAAAAACTCATGGGTTGCTTCAGAAGACAAATGCCTTAATAGTGAAAGTATATATGTGTCCCTCTGCCTTCCTCCTTTCTTTTAGTTTTTATTGCTGAGCATAACATCATATGGTATGGAATATGCCTTTGGTCATTTTGGGTCAGCTGTCCCAGCTGTATTCCCTTCCAACCTCCTGCCCACCTCCAGCCTACTGGCCTTTGCGGAGGGTTGGAGAGACAACCTTGGCGCTGTGCGAGCACTGCTCAGTGACCGCCGAATATATAGGGATGTTACCTGCACCCGAGCCAGACCCAGCACAGAGACACTCAGCTAATTGTACTCCATTTGCTTCTGTTTCCACTTACATTCTAATTTAGTTCTTAGGTAATGTGTTTGAGTGGGACACGAACTGTGATTTCTTGATGCTTATGATGATAGCATTTGAAAGAATTTGCTTAGAAAAACCCATTGTGTCCCTCAAGCTTTCTGTTCCCTGCAAGGTCTGTCAATTTTATATTTTTATACAGACAACCATAAACCCTGGGATATACTCTCACTTAAATGTAAATGACACTAAAGATGCAAAACCCCTATCAGATACTATTTTTCAGAAAAGATTTGAAAATGAATATTTTAGCATGGGTCAAATTTTCTCAGAGCTATTTTTTATAATGTTACTGATAAATTCAAGTCCATATTGTAATACATGCAACAATGCACACTTGTGGTTTTGCATAACTTAAAACAAGCATGTGCAACTCCAGGGGCTTTCTTTGAAATCAAAACAAAACTTAGGTTTATGAATTTAAAAAATTGGTTTTACATACATTTCAGAACCAGTGATATTGACTCCAACATTCATCTCCGGAGAAGATTTCCTAATACTTCTGAGGAGGTAAGTATGTGGAAATTTACCTTTTATCACTGTTTCTCTATTTCTCTTAAACTCCAGAAGTTCACATACTGTAAAATGGTCCACTCTACAGATAAGCCCTATGATAATCCAAAAGCCCTGTGGCTTCTAATAATTTTTTTGCCAAAACCAGGCAGAGCTGAAAAAGCTTTATTGAACTCTCCCAAATATATGGAACAGAACCTCACTGAACCTTGAACAAACCCACAAAGGAGTACCCAATACTGCAATTAAATCTATTGTAACTTTGATGCTTATTTTGTTGGAACTGTATAGCTGCAACATTCCGCTTCTTTGAAGCTGGCTTCATTTGCTGCTCCAGTTTCTCGAAGTTTTGATATTCTCTGTATGTATGTTGCTGTCCTGGTTACTGCCCTGCAAAAATGCTGGATGTCTCTTGAAGTGCACTTTTTAGAAAAGATTGGGCTCCCTCCCTGCCCTTCACAGTAGTAGCGTATTACATCATCTCAATAGCAACAGCTGCCCCTAAAAGAATTTTAGCTGGAATGTGAAACTGCATCCTTAATGGCAGATGTAATTCATATTGGTTTCTTGAGAGCACACTATACAACTGAGCTCTAGATTTTCGTTTTTTCACTTGGAAGGAAGGGACAGCAACAGCAGTCTGGGCACGCTGAGCAAGGGTAGGAGTATGGCTCTTTTCAGCACCAAATAAAATTTTGACCTTCTTGAAGTTTTAAAGAAATGCTGCCACCAATGTTCAATGAAATGGAGGTTTCACATAGATGCTGTGGTTTTGCCATGCTGTCAGAGCTACTAGAAATATATATGAATAAGGGGAGCCTTATTGAATGAAAGCAGCTGAAAGCAAAAAAAAATCTTCTTTCACAACTTTTTTCCTTTTCTGTGTGTGTACCAGACTGCAGTGGTGGATGTGCAGGCAGGGAACAAATTTATAAGCACACTTGATCATTTTAGATGAGCAAATGTTAGACATACTCTGCAAAGCATGCACACACAACCTCCCTCTTTGCGAGATGCTGAATTTTATTTGTTTATATAATCTATTCCTGGTTTGTTCGTTTGCTTGTTTCAGGAAACCTGTGGTGAAAACAAGAAGATGACAGACGTGAATGAAAGTCCATTAAATGTCAGGTGAGTGGTTCTTATTCAGACAAAGCCTTTTGCAAGGAATCCGTAACTCCTAGGTACTTCTAAGAATGTTACAAAGGGAATTGAAAATTGACTATAATGGTAGAGACTGAATGGACATCGTGCGTAATGGCTCAGAGTCCTTATTTTCCATAGGTGTAAGGCACAAAACTTCTTTATTGCTAGTTTTTCTCCTTGACCAAAATGCTTTTTCTTGAAAGATTCAGCTGCCTAAGCAAGACTGTGAGCCCTGTCCCCACATGGCGGGTATTTCAGACCACGAAAAGAGTGGGAGGACTTCAAATAAAAGGTCCTCTGGCAGTGATGACTCTTTCCAGGTTTGGAAGACTGTCAAGACCACTGTTCAGCATGGTCAGTGCTAGGGAAAAATGATTCAACGGACTTCTGGCCTCTGTTACAGCACCCATCTGTTTCTATAATCTGTATATGTGTTTAGTTTAGACTTAGGGTGCTGTGATGGATCCTGAACTCAGAGTGTTTATCCCTTTGGTATTACGGTCTACATATCTATAAGAAATAACGATTGCTTTATGTTTTCCCTCTCAGTTGATACTGAATAGCACGTCCCTGAACTTGGAGTTAAAATGATGGTTGCATTTAAATGCAGAAAACACACAAAATATTACCATGACCCAGTAACCTGGTCTCACAGTTCTGTTAAAAAAAAAATAGCTGTCGCAGTTCTGCCTTTTTGCAGACTGCTGAAAGCGAGCAAGTTTTCTGTAATACTTAAGATATATATCCAGTATAGTATCTGAACAGGCAGGATGCCCCAAGCCAGAAAAAGGACTCATTAAAACAGCCCAAAACCCATTTTTTTCCAAAAGTAGATTTAAAAAGTCTACCAGAGGGTGATTCATATAATCTCAGTAAGTTATAAAATGAGTGTACCATCTTGTGCATTTTAATTAAGATTTTTTCTTGTCTTTGTGAGTGCTCAGTGGTGTAGTTAGAGTCCATTGGGCTTTGCCCTTATGAGCCAAAGCTGGAATTTTGGAGTCGTCCTACAAAACCCCAAGTGCTAGTTGGTTCCTGGAAGTCTTGGGCTTCTCCTGTTTAATGTTCTGGTGTCTGACATAAGAAGCTCTGAAAGTAGATGATTTGGGGAAAGTGTATCAAGTCAGCTACAGCACGTAGGTAAAATGGTGGAAGTGTTGTATGTGTTGCCCAGAGCTATGTTTACTGTTCTGAATATAAATTTGAGTGATGGAATCACCTTACATCAGAGAACTGTGCTGCAATGGCATGTATTTAAACTACCTGTCCACAGTTTTCAGAGGATTAATTGCTATGCACCATGGCTCCTGAGGAGATACACCGCTAAAGCCCATTATGTGCCTCATAGTCTAGCTTGGACTCCAACTGACTAGATTGAAATGGTTCATTAACTGCTGTCTTTTAGTCTTCCCCCTGATCTTTGCAGTAAATGTTAACAGTGAGAGCTTTTTCTTCTTCTTCCTGCCTCTTATCAAATTCTCTCCTGTTTTCAGGAAGCAAAAGGACTCAGAAGCAAGTGAGACTCCAACACCAACTCATGAGATTAGGATTGCCGAGCAGCCAGAGCTACTCCACTTCATCATTTTCTTCTGGGTGCTGGTCTACTGCCTTTTACTCCTTCCACAGCTTCTTAGCAACAAAGTTTGATCTCTGTGAGGGATGGAAAAATAAAGGACGGTGGCTGGATTGCTTTGTGTATCTGCATATGAATATGTTCCTTCAGGTGAAGCACAAACAGAAATGTAGGACCTGGTATTTGTGTTTATTATCAGGTTGTCCTCGATTCCTCTGCTGTTGTGCTATGACAGTGTCTAAGCACATTTTATATTATGATAATTGTGTAAATATATATAAAAATAACCTGATTTAGTAGACGCCATTTTGTACATTTGTGCCTTGCTTTATAAGATGCTAAATAAAACCAGATAATTATCAGTAGAAATATGAACAATTCAGAGCTCTAGTCTTCAAAAATTATTCTTCTGGCTTCATTTACTTATGTAGGGCCTGACAGCTGTGGAAGGGGGGTGGTGTCTAGTTGCCCATGAACCCAGCCCACCTGCAAGGGCAAGGCTAGAAATGCTTTTTCTGGTTTCCCATGGAATTCTTAGAGAGAGCTGGAGGCGGAGCAGAGCTGCAGGTGGTGGAACATGCTGACCCCAGGACCTGATTACAATTCTAATGTCGATCTGGTAGACCAACAAAATCAGGCTGAGGGTTTATTTAGGCAGGAGAGTTTAGGTTTTCTAGGATTTAAATTATTTTTTAACCTGCACCTTTTGTTATGTTTAATTTGCAGGAATAATTTGGGTGTGGAGAAGTGTGAAGAACATGTAGGCTAGTTGTTTTTTTGTTCAACACATTGTGGTTTGGGTTTTTTTTAGTACCTCACTGCTTCTGAGGCTGCTCCCTTTTCTCTGCTGCTTCCATTTACCAGATCATGTGAAGATTTCTCTCTTTTTGAAGATACAAAAAAACAATAGATAACCTAATTTGCCGAAGCTACCATTAGGGCACAAGTGTATGGTAAAAGGATTAGAAATATCCTTTAAGTGCCCAAATCAATAAAGAAATGACAGATGTAAAACTAAATACAGAGAAATGTTGACAGGTCGTGCAACTGAAGAGACTTCTGTGGCTTGTCCATAGACACAGTTGAGCCACTTCTGCATCTTGTAATTTTTTTCCACATCAGTAAACACATCAGGATATTTGATTTAGGATTTTTGACAGAGGGGGTGTGCCTGTGCATTACAGGACAAAAGAGAAGTCTTCAAATTCAATTTAATAGCAGTATCTTTACTCTGTGTGACTTTTAGTGAAGTCACTATTTTTCATCGGCATATTTTTAGTTTCATATTATGCTTTATGAGACTACATTGTGCTGCTGCTTCCACTTGAAAATTCTGAAGGTTGACTGCATTGTGCTTCATAAAATGAGGGCTTTCATGATTTACACTGGGTGAAAGTTACAACACGTGACTACAAGTTTTACATATTTTGTTTTTCATAAGGTGTATCTCTAACCTGGCATAGTTTTCAGCTGAACTAATAGTACCTGGGGTCAGGACACTTCAGAAAATATAGCAATTTATTTGCAGGTATTTAAAACCTGTTTGTAGTGATGTCATCTGCTGGGGTAATCCTAACTGTCCATCACACTTCATTTTTCTTTATAGGCTTCTTGTTTCCCTGAGATTTTTCTTAGGAGCTGCAGTTAGAATTCAATAGCAGCAGTGCATGGTAGGAGATCTTAAACATTGAAAGTAGAATTCTGAACCTCTTTCAGCCAACAGAATGCTGAAATCTTTTCTATTCTGTCCTGTCACCGTTGACTAGAGCTGGATTCACACTATGAACCAAAAAATAAGATCCTTTCTACTTGATGAGGAACAGATCAGAACTTCCCAACTTAATTCAGTGTAAATCAACATAAGTAAACAAAACAGTCTTTCAACTTGCTAATGAAAATGTTCAGCATTTTGAATTGCCTGGTTTTGTGATGCGTGAACCTGTTTGTGATTGTTGATGAAGACAGTGATCCTTTCTTCTAAGAGAAAACCTATGTTAGAATTTTTGAAGATGCTCTCTTGAAGTAGGCTAAAATATAACATGGAAGGGCTTCATTTTTTTTTTTTTTTCTGAAAGAATGAAACTTAATACAAGAAACTTTGTGTCTTCATCCTGAAAACCAGTGAATACCAGGCTGGGGCATGTCAGCTACTAAATGGCAGCAAGTAGCAATGCACATTAGTTTGGAGGAAAAGTGCGGACAGCTCTTCATTACGTGCTACTCTTCATAGGCTCCTTTGGCTTATGACAACTTTTTTTTTGAGCCTTTGTACTTTATTCTCTGGTTCTTCCAAATTTTCTTAGTCTTCAGCAGAGACTATCTGGAGTTGGATTACAGTCCCTTGGTAGGACTTTACAGCTATCAAAGTTCAGTCAAATAAAATAAGCTCCCTTTTTGTCTTCTCTCCTTCCTCACAAGAAAATGAATGAGGAGGCCTTTGGATGTTTCATCTCAACAACTGATACCCATAAAGAATGGAAAAGTGAATGGGAATGCACTGATGCTGGCAACTTCATTATACAGTATTTTCTTCCAAGAGGGTTTTCCTTCTTGCCTCCCACTGATGAACAGTGACTGAAACAGTGAAATGAGTAGTTTAAATGTCAAACAGCATCCAGCAATTGTCTTGATCATCTCACCCAGTGTTGAAACTGATATATGCTTTTCAGCCTCTCCCATTAAAAGATGGAGATTGTTTCTTCCATGCAAAATAGATGAAAAAAAAATTATACTAAATTGGTCCAGGATACTTGGTATTAAGTTGCCCTCCATATCTGGGTTGGTTTAGGTGTGGTTTTGCTGTAACAGAAATAGCCTGGGTCTACCTTCATCAGCCATACCATGGGTCAGAAGATCCAGGGTTAAAAGTAATTGTTCTGGTATGTTCAACTGTGCCTGAAAAGAGCCTGAACTCTTCAGGAGTTTTGCCATTACTTGGAACCACAAAAGGTGACACCTGCCTAAGCAGCAGCTCCCCCCCATTTAAATTGACTTGTAAGCCTGCATCTCTTCTTCCACAGCACAAGATCCAGTCCCTCAATGCGAGTGCTGCATTCTGAAAAAACTGCTTGTTGTTTGACTTCGTGTCCTATTCTGAACTCACAGTATGAAATCCTGACTGTGAAGCATTCACTATGGCAAAGCCCCTTTTAACTTGCTGGGTAGAGGACTGGCTTGAGGTAGCAGAAGTTTTAAAGGCCGGTGGGCAATCTATCATCTATCCATTTTCCAACAGATACGTGCACTGTCTGAAGAAGGAAGTTTTTCCTGAATTTTTGCTTGGGTTTGCGAAAATGCTAAGCTTGAACTGACCGCATTTGGTATTTTGATTTAGCAGCAGAATTCAGATACACCGATCTATTAAGACCGTTTCTAAACCCTGATGTTCTTGAGCAAATGTGTGGGTAGCAGCATATTGTGAAGTGTAAGTGTCAGGAGGTGCTTGAGGATCAATGGAGAAAGGGTGTTTGGTGTTCACAAAAGCACCATTAAAGACCAAGAGACAACTTTAATAGGATGGTTCAATGTTATCGTAGTCACGTAACTGAACAGCAAAGTGTTTCGTTGTGATTTTATAGAAAGTGCAAGGAAAGATATGCTATTAAAGACAGAACCCTGCTAAACAGTTATGGGGCAGACGTCTTACAGCTGAAGAAATGAGATAAACAGTCGCATAATCTACAAACTGAATTGAATATAGCCTTTGCCAAAGTGTAGGAAATGATCAGTGCAAAGATAGGGCAAGCACAGATTACAGTAAAAAAATGACAATCACTTTTCAATGCCATGAATATTTTTGATGGATTGAGCTCTAAAATGTATTTTTATTGAGTTTCTAGATTGTAATGAATGTGTCTACAGAATTTTATGCAAAGCTTGAGAGTTCAGCTGTTTTAAAATGATTTTTTTATATAGCAGTGATTATTTTATCTATATATTTAATAGAACTGTAAAACCATTTTAAGAGTACCTGTAAAATTCTATGTATGTGATATGATTATTTATTAATTATGACTCATGAGAATGAACATTAAGCTATGCATCAGTTGTGTCATCCATTTGAAAACTGGAAACTGCAAACAGGAGGAGAGTTTTTAATGAACAGTAGACTTGAAAAACATGGAAAAAGATTTAATACAATTGTGTGATTCTTAAAGCTGCATAGCGGTATGTCATTTTGTGATGTTAAACCTTCAGCTAAAGCTGCAAAATATACAGAGTGATTAAGCTACTTTCTTCCATTAAAACTTCCTGAGGCTGAAATTTCTACATGTTGATATTTGGTATCTAAACACACTTAAATCCTCTACATCTTCTGGAGACTCTCAGTTGACTCCAGCTCAGTTAAGACAGTAACTTCTTTATCCATGTAATGCTCCACTGAGTTTATGGGGGTACCATGATACCCAGGGGTTCTTTTTGTTTTTCTGCACCGATCCCCATAGAATCAGAGCTTTACAAGATTAATTTGGCCATCTAACAAGGTAATAGTTCTAGTAGTGCATTATCACTTATGCTAGCTTTAACTACTTGGGAGTCCCCTCTTGCCAAGCGCAAACTTGAATGCATCCAAGTGATGTGTTCAGTTCCTTGACTTCTGTGGAAGTCAGTGCAACACACCTGTGTGCTAAGCACACACTGTGGGATGTGCTCTGAGGGGACTCAAATCAACATTAATCACATAGGCCAGAAAGTAGCTGAAGCCCACACATGGCCCTTAGGCTGGATCCCCTCAAATCCAACGTACACAAGCAATCCCACTGACTTGGGTTAACCCCTCTGTACGTATAGTATTTGTTTGCCTAAATTCTGCAGGATCAATCCCCTCTTCCTTCTGGGAAGTTAACATGCACGTCCATTTTTGATTAAGAGAACAGCAGTGGGGGAAGGAATGGCTGGAAGACAAGGGTGAGCTTGCAGGCTGGAATGCAGCCATGAAAGTTCTCAAACAGCTACAGGTTGCCTGCTGCTTTCCATTGAGCTAATAGGTACTGCATCTGAATGGAGTTAAAACACCCTTAAGTTTTTTTATTTCCACATTGTGCAGTGTTTTGTCAGGTAAATGACATCAAGTTCTTCCCCTCAACATACCACTGATAACACTAATTTACAGCTGCCCAACTTATGACTGTTCACATTCCAGGTTTGTATCTAAAGAGGACTTCCAGTATGGCTTGTTCCCACCCAGACCACCCCAAGATGGTGAAGCTATTTGTGCAGGAGGTATATACACGTTAAATGATATGGAAAAAGTAGTTTTCTGAACAGGGTGGCTTGCTTACTCTGTCCATCGCTTGATACAACTCTAGAGCTCACAAAGGGTGAAAAATTAACATTTTTATTCTCAAGTCCATTTCAAGGTTATCTTAACTGAAAATGTGGAACTTGGAAGTATTTCTTTCCTCCTCTGAATGTGAGACATGGAAAGCCTCCTTCCACCACAGTGGCACTTTTGATGACTCCCTTCCAGGCAGCTGCTACTGTTGGTATTGGAAAACAAGGCCTGTGTTCTTTTCTTACCATGAGGGGAATGTCTAAGTTTACGTCTCTGGAACATAAAATTGGCCCCTGTGTGATTATTGTACTTCTTTCTTCATGAAAAGGTTAGAAGGGGCAATAAAAATAATTAATTTACCTCGGTGAGAAATACTAAAACCTACCATTCCAAGAAAGGCTAGATCAAGGCTTTCACGCTGTGTTCATGTGTTCAGGTCAGGTAATATTTTATTCCGAAAGTAGTTTCATGACTTTCACTGGGCCTTCCTGAAATCTCTTTGACTGACAGAATAGATTTGCTTCTGAACCACAGCCATTATTAGACTGTAACAGAAAATCACCAATGTCAAATTATATGCTGCTAATTTTTGGAGAGAAATAATGCAGTCATTTTTTAATGCCAAATAACTTACACAAGTCATATACGTCTATTTTTATTGTAGTAATAAAAACTGAACTTCTGCTTTTGTCTTGAACAAAACAACATATTTTAGAAGGCACCCACTTTGTGCTATTGTATTCTTCTGTGTAAAAAGCTGAAGAAACTGTTTTAGCCGCCTTAAAGTTCTCCAGTTTAAAATGTAATCTGTAAAGTGATAATTTGCAGAAGAGTTAATGAGGGACTTTTAAGCTGAAGAAATAATTTGTAAGTAAGGAATGTAATATTTAAAGTACATGTTTCTCTTTGGCAAGTAATGAGGAATATTGCTTATTTAAATGAGAACAAATGCTGGGAGGATTTGAGTGGAATCAAAAGATATACTGAAGGAGATGCATTTTTGTGTACTTTCAAATAATTTCTTCTGAATGCTTTCAATCAGTGGTTTGTATTGAATGTTTGCACTTATTCAAAGCTAATTTTTGTGAGAAAGAAATATATTCTTGTGTATAGCTGGTACACTAGAAAAGAAAATGTTTTTAGAAACTGTTATGCTGTACCAAGATATTAGTATTTACTAGCGAATAGTTCCACTTTCTTTTATAAAATCTCCAATTTTGAAATAAATGGACAGGCTTCCTGTATATAATCTGTTAATCTGTGGGTTTGTCCTCTTTCTCCTGAGAAAGTATCTTCAAACATCTCAATTCAGAAGAGATCATCATTTAGTTCTTATTTTATTTATTTATTCACTATTACCATTACAATATATAATTTATATATTAGATATTTATACTGCATATAATATATATATACAATTATATATTATTTTTATTTATTAATTTGTTTTCATGTCCAGAAAGTATGTTCATTTTTCAGCAGGGAAGACCTCAGTAAGTGCATTGTTTTGCTGCCTACTCAAAAAAGTTACTTTTCATCTTAAAGGAAGAATCCAAACTTTTCTTCTAGTCAACAAGCAGAATGAGTTAGAATTATTTATAAAGGTGAAGATTTAGCAATTTAATAATGCATAGAAATTGGCATTATAAAGGCAAGCCAGGGGAAAGCTTACAAAAACATTTGTGCTGAATTATATACTCTTCTTACAGTTCAATTTATCATCCTGCCTGTTTCTAAGTAAATGTTTAGACTTGTGGATCAGTAAATCACTAGGTGCTGTACTGATTCATATTTACTATGTTCCTCCCCTACACCTTAATTCCCTTTGTAGTATATGAGAAAAGGAAAATAAAGTCCCACAGAGATGCGATATGGTTCAGAATCAGCCCCAGGATCTCTGTTCTGAAAAAGTATCTGAACTGGATAAACACACAGAAAGAAAATAGTATATGGGGGATGGAGTAGGAGTGCTTCTTCTCTAATTAAAGTTTGGTAGCTATCACGCTTTATGAATTGTAAATTCCTCTGTTCCTTCTATAAAATCAAACGTGAGCTACCTCATCACCCCTGCGGTAGCTGATACCCGTCTATCGGACCATCCTGTAGCGGGTAAGAGAATATTCAAATTGCTGTTGGGAATTTGGTTCATTTGTTAAGTCAGTCCTGTTAGTACTGCTGACTTCATTACTATAATTTAAACATTTCCAGATACAATTTGAGACCAGTAACTTTTACTGGCATCATGAATGACGCTTAAGTGGAGAATCAAAACGGGGTTTTGTTTTTCTTTTTTTTTAATTGGGTTATTTTTTTGCAACTGACACTGTGATTAGGAATTTGCACACGGAGTGGGAGGTGGTGGTGGTGAAATTCAAATACGCAAGATGGGTCAGCTCGGAACATGGGAGTAGAGTAAGTTTTTACAAGAGTATGGGATCCAAACTTCAGTTCAAACTCAAACACAGTACGAACAGGAATTGTTCGATCTGATTTCTTTTCACAGCCCTGGGATAAAAGTAATTCTGATGGAAACAGCAAAAACAATCTCCCATATCATTGCTGCGTACATAATTTTTGTAGCTTAAAGAAGATGAAAGTGCAGCGGAGGAAAGATACCCACCTGGATCATGGCAGCAATAAAGCCAAGCACAGGGTTCGTTTCAGAGAAGGAACCACATGTAAGTGTATGTCCCAAGGATGCACAGTTGGGTCATGCAGGAGCCCAGACCTCCTGAGGATCACTGTGGCCATCATGCAGCTATTTTGGTTGCTAGTGTATATTGAAATCTTTCCTCTTGCTTCACTGCTTTTTTGACCTGATTGGTAAGGAGAGGCCAGCAGGGGCCAGAGTACCTTCAAACTGCTGGGCAGATATAACAAAACCTCAGATTGAGCTCTGATTTCTATTAAGACACCACTATAGAGCAATAATCTTGAGTTGCTATTTCTATTGATGTTACAAGGATTATTCCCAGGAGAGTTAACTGCAATACTTTATGAAATGCCTTCTAGTGACTAATTCCATTCCTTGGTTAGATGGTACCACTGGCAGTCCTCTGTCCTTGCCAAACTGTACGCTTTACCGGGCAATATCATGCAACATATGATCAAAGCAAAATGTATAGCTCCACCTGCTGTAAATACTTTGAATTGATTATTTTTGCATTACTTTTTTTATGGACAATCTGTACCCTGGGGAACCGATTTGTCACTATTTTCTGCATGTTAGCAAGAACCAGCATAAATACAGCAGCTAAGTACGTTTATGCATTGCAAAGTGGTATTTCTCAGTTCTCTGGCAAAAAGGAGCACCAAAAAAAGTGTTATTTTCCAAGGACATGAGGAATTTTTGTTACTTATTGTATGATAGATCTTTTGCACTGTGTCATTGCAGCTGCTCGTGAAATGCAGAAATGACATGACTTGCTTAAGTCAGTGACGAATGAGAAGAGATTCCCAGTTACTCTTCTGAGAAGTGATGGCCTTCCACAATCAGGAACAGCAACTTTTTTTCTTGGCAGTGGTCCTCAATACTGAGTCCCTGCAGAGGAAGAGTGACTGAGATGATATCCTATTTTTTATACTGATTTTAAAAGGTAGACCAGCAGTTTAAAGAGGTCAAAAAAGACACTAAAGCAGCTAAAAATATTGAAGTGTCTCTTGCACTGGGGAAAACATCCTTATTTAGAGTTAGGAAGTCTGGGTCATTGAAATGTGAAAGCACACCAAAAATTTTTCTTAAAATAGCATCTTAGGGGGGGACAAGAAGTTTGTGCAACCCAACACCTTTTAAAAGTCTCAGCTCCCATTTTAGGAATGGACTCTGTTCAAAATAGGTTCTTTCTTTCTTTCTTCCAGCTTCCTTCTCCATAATCATACCTGCAGCTTTTTCTCATAATACATTGCAGATGTTATTATTAGCACTGTGGTTTAAAATGTTTGCAACTGCTCTTTCCTGCAGTGATTCACAGCCATGAAATGAAAAACCTGGTAGCCAGACTAGGAGCCGTTTAAGAGGAAAGCTAAATTTTCTCCAGCGAGGTGCCGAAAAGACACATCCTTTCTTGGTCAGAAACTTGAATGCAACACTCCAGCCCGTATTTTCTCGATAACTGCCAATTTGTTTCAAAGCACATTATTGAAATAGTGTGTGACGCAATGACAAACCAGCATCATGGCTGGTACCAACGGGAGGGAACAACAGAGGTCACCATTGTCTCGCGGGAAGGAGTCTCCTCCGAGTCCATTTTAGAACCTGATGAGACGTGTAGAGCCAAAAAGCACAAAGCCTGGTTTCTGCTGGCATGATTGCACAGTTCTATAGCTTGAATAAAGACAACTACTTGTGACACAGTGATTTTTATTTTTAAATTGCAATTTGCCATTTTTTTTTTTAAATTGCAATTTGCCTTTTTTTTTTTTTTTAATTTCAATTTGCCTTTTTTTTTTTTTTTAATTTCAATTTGCCTTTTTTTTTTTTTTTAATTTCAATTTGCCTTTTTTTTTTTTTTTAATTTCAATTTGCCTTTTTTTTTTTTTTTAATTTGCAATTTTTCTCCTTTTTAACCCAAACACATTTTTTTCTTACTCTTACCCAAGAGGAGAAAACCAGAAACAATCCCCTCATCCCTTACCGACACAATTTTTTAAAAGGGGGAAGGGAGATGAATGCCCCCTTTTTCTTGTTATCTTGCAACAGTTATCCCAGAGAGTAAAACGTCACTATTTCCAGTACTAAAGAGAAGGGCAAAGCTGTAATTTGGTACATTATTACTTAATCTGTTCTGGATTTTAATTAGTTGGGCTACCTTATTCTTTTTTTTGTTCAACGGCCTGTTTGTTTTGGTTTTATGGATGGTTGTGTGGTTTTTACCAAACATCCAATGCCAAGCCGTTTGAAATATGTGGAATTTTTGAGAGTTGTGTATCACATTGATGACTTCATCTTACTTTTCTTTAAAAATCTTTGTTAGAAATTTGTGAAATCAATAAAAAAGTGTTGTTTTTTTTTAATTTGGGCTTAAACTCTGAAGCTTAGCTGTCATTACACAAGGATATGACACAAAATATCCGTTTCTTGCAACAGAGAGAGAATAGTGGTGATAGAATAATAAGGAATAGCACAAAATTTATCCTAACTGTGCTTTTAAATCAAAACCACCTGTCAGCAGGCAGGCTCAAGGAGGAAGTAGCTGTGAAGAAAGACAGCCTTTTCTTTATATGAAAATAACTTCCAGAATTCTCCTGGCATTCGTGTGTTTTGTTTTCTGTGTTTTAAGTATTCTGCTTGCCTTCTCTTTGAACCTACTTGAATTGGATAAAATTCATTATTTAATCATGGCCTGCAGAGGATTAAGGAGGGTTTCTTTCTGCTCTATTTTACATTAGAAATAATCAAGAATGCCAATTTCCTTTGGTACTTCAGCTAAAATTGGAAAAATAGACCCATATGTTCTGACAGCTCCCACTGGATAAGACTGAACAGCTGCTCCTCTTCCTAAGCTTTTGTCACAGGATATAATTATTCTTCCATCCATAAAAAACGGAAGGATGCCCCTTCAATGCTATAAAAATACCTACTAATGTGATATTTAACAACATGGGCATTACAGAAGATTTTCTCTAAGTAGCAACAGAGATTTGAGCCAAGAAAATACTTAACACCCTAGGCCTCTGTATCACTTCTAATCTGAAATAATTTTACTCAGGTCCTCAGAGTGCTCCAGTTAGCTTTACCCTCTCATACTGACTTTGTAGGCACAGTTATATTACGGAAGATGGTGAGTCCCTGACAGAGTGCAGATGGAATGAGGGAGGCTGGACCCCCAGTGACAGATCTTCCATTGCATACACGCTGCCTTCAGCACAACTTAAAAGGGCAGTGTCTGGCCAGAAGAGGCTTTGTATTGCATTTACAGTTGTTGTCTTCTTCTTTCTTAGGCAACAAGGACGATCTCCAGTCCTTGTATAAATACACATGATCTTAGGAGACTCCTAACTTGGTCACCTGGCCTAACGCAAGTGTAACTGGTGCTGTACCTGCACCAGGAGGAGGCAGAATGGGGCCAGCAATGTATATTGATATTATTTAAAGATTTCCTTCCACAAAAGTGACCACATTGCCCACATGTGGCTATACCTCTACATTTTTTGTATGATTTGTGAAAGCAGTCAGCCCATAGATCTGACCACTCGTTAGCACTATAGACAGGACTGTTCTTCTGAGATTTAAGTGTGTGCATCCCATCACGATGAAA